TCGTGACGAATCTGAGCGATTTTCTCCCTGAAACGCCTGGCAAAGTCATCACAGCGGGCCTTTGAGGGTGGAACCAGATCTTCCTTAGGACCCGGGCGAACCAGGCCTTGCACCACTCAAAAAAGCTCTGCCGGACGGCATTGTGAGGAGGCAATGGAAGCGGAAAAAACTTCTTTTTCGCCGCCTTCACCGCCACAGCATAGGCCCGATAGTGGGCTCTCAAGTGTGTTCGGTCAGATTCATCCCATGATCTCCTCCACCTACGCTCTAGACATCTCCCAACCTGCTTCATCGCCTGCAATTCAGGTGTATACCAAGGGGAAGAGCGGGCTCTGCCCGGTGGGAGAGGACGCTTAGGAGCGATCGTGTCCACAGCCCTGGTCATCTCCCTGTTCCAGTTTGACTAGAGCCTCGACAGGAGCACCAGTCTTGTCAGCCGGAAACTCCCCCAGGGCTTTCAGGAATCCATCCGGATCCATCCGGCTCCGGGGGCGGACCCACACAATCGGATCCGCACCCTTGCAGAGGGAGAGGCCGCTCTCGAGCACAAACCTCACCAGGAAGTGGTCAGACCATGACAGGGGAGTCAAACATAAATTCCTCACCCTCAGGTCACCCTCTTCCTGCCCCATCAAGAAAACCAGGTCCAGAGTGTGTCCACGTTCATGGGTCAGGCCGGAGACATGTTGAGACAGCCCCATGGCCATCATGGAGGCCATGAAGTCCTGAGCCGCCCCGGTCAGACCAGACTCGGCATGGAGATTGAAGTCCCCCAGGACCAACATCCTAGGGGTCTTCAACACCAGGTCTTCGTCAGCTCAGACAGGGAGACTGTTGGGCAGAAGGGTGCATGGTGCACCAACAGAATCCCCAATCTGTCTCGTTTGCCCAACACCAAGTAGAGACACTTCTACTTCTGCTTCATTGACTATGCTAAAGCCTTTGATTGTGTGGATCACAACAAATTGTGGCAAGTTCTTAAAAAGATGGGAGTACCAGACCATCTTATTTGTCTCTTGAGAAACCTATATGAGGATCAAGAAGCAACAGTGAGAACTGGGCATGGAACCACTGATTGGTTCAAAATTGAGAAAGTAGTTTGGCAAGGCTGTATACTGTCGCCCTGCCTATTTAACTTATACGCAGAGCACATCATGAGAAAGGCAGGGCTGGATGAATCCTCAGTTGGAATTAAGAGTGCTGGGAGAAATATCAACAATCTGAGAGATGCAGATGATACCACTCTCATGGCAGAAAGTGAAGAGGAACTAAAGAGCCTCTTGATGCGGGTGAAGGAGGAGAGCGCAAAAGTTGGCTTGAAACTCAACATTAAGAAAACTAAGATCATGGCATCTGGTCCTCTCACTTCCTGGCAAATAGATGGGGAAGAAATGGAGGTAGTGACAGATTTTATTTTCCTGGGCTCCAAGATCACCGCAGAC